ACATGCAGCCTATGGGTTCTAGAAAGGAGCTTCTCCTGATATTACCACCTGCCCCCCAGGTTTCCAGCCTCAGGTTATGTTGGGATGCTTCCAGATCCACCGTGAATGTTATTTTGGTCATTAGGCTAACACTGTCTTAGAACTCGGGCTCCCCAGGTGGCTCAGTAATAAAGAGCCCACCTGTCAAAGGAGACACAGCAGATGTGGGTTTGATCCCTGGGTCGGGAAAAGTCCCCTGGAGGAGGAAATGGCCACCCAGTCCAGTATTCTTGCCTGGAAAATTCCATGGACAGAGGAGCCTGATGGGCTACAGTCCACGGGATCAAAAAGAGTCAGGCAGGACTTAGAGACTGAGCGTATCTCAGAACTTAGTTTTATTGTTAAGAGATCTTTTTGAACCAAGTGGCTCAAATCTGATAGATATTGGATTTGCTATGAAGACCACCCCTTGAGCTGTCACCTTTCATTTTCTCCACTCTCCTCAAACCTGTTTTATGTGCTATTAATATAGTTTATACAGTTAATGTATCTTGTACAACAGAGATGAGTTTGAATATGATCCATGTTGAATATAAAACTTTTATATCAATTTGCTTAAAACAAAAATAATTATCAGAACTATTGGCTAATCTATGTTGGTTTGCTCATCCAAATTTTGGATAAACCTTGATCAAAAGTTAAAACACTCAACTTGGTGGTAGGTGAATGTTGCCTTAGAGGCAATAAGTAATCATTGAAATACCCTTACCCATCAACTGAACCTAAATCTATAATGTCATTACCAAAGAATACACTCTTCAAGAAATCACTTAGAAAATTACTAACATAAGTATTCTATCAATATTTGAGAATTCCCTGCTGGTCCAGTGGTTAGGACTTGGCACTTTCACTTCTGGGGCATAGGTTCAATCCCTGGTCAGGGAACTCAGATCCTGTAACTCACATGGCAAGGCCAAAAAAAATTTTTTTCTTTCTGCTTTAGCCATGAAAGTAGAGATTTTTGACTCTTTTACCCTAGTGGGACTCTTTATCTATATAAAATTAGAAATCAACATAGACCCTAAAAGCTGCTTTAGTTGACATGGAGGTGGCCTGGACGCCTGTTGGTTCTCTTCCCTCTTAGCTCATAAGGTGGCATCTCCAAGTACCCCAGGGTTTCACCAAGCTCAGTTTGGCAATTTCCAATTTGCAACATAATAGCGATAAAGTCAAGGTCTTGATTCAATGGCCATGGAGGCCATAACCAACTCCTCCTACTTATAAACATAAAACTCTATGTGGCACAGGATAGATAGATAGTTGATACTCAACAGAAAAATTTTATCACTGTCCTTACCCAGCATTCTTACAAGTGTGTACCTGTGTTACAAATAAGAAGAATGAGTAAGCAAAATCTCTCCAAATTGCAAATAAAACACCCCACTCTTTGGCCAACAGCATCATCTTTGTCTGTTAAAAATACTTCATTTTATTTCAGTAGAGATAGTAAGTACCTGTTAGTGATGTTATTAATGGGGCTGACAGATGTGCTATGGAGTCAGGCAAGAAGCTCTCCTGGAAGAATAAGTTTTCACATTTCTCTGGTGTCTGAACAGCAAACTAGATGGACACTCAGCAATTTACTGTCCCTAGCACAGCCCCATCTCACTGTGAAGTGTCAGCATTTTTGCAGCTTCCCATAGTGAAAGCTTCCTTGTGATTCTGTATTCTTTGGGAAGATCAAACTCTGCATTTTCTCTCCAACTCTTCCATCTTCCTCCTGAGACCACATGGGTCTCAGATCTAGATCTTAGATTCACATTTAAATGTGACATTATAGACAACAACTTGGTGTCACGATATTGCCTTGAACTAAAAATTAATTAATGAAATTCATCTGGAGAAAGGTTTAAGAAGATTTCAAAGACCTTAGATAAAGTGATATCTTTATAATCCTCTCCACTCTCCTCATATCTCTGACTACTAACAGCACCAACATCACCCCCATTTGTGAACAGGGCACTTCACCTCCTACTCCAGTAGAAAAGCGAAGCCACGGGCAGGAATTGCCTCAGGCTCCTGTCACTGACCCTGCAAACCCACCAGAACCTATGCTTTCCTTCCCTTTTTTCTGATGAGAAGGAACCCTTGCTCCACACCTGATGCCCTCACCTGTTCCCTGGCTTCCTCTCGCCAGCCTCCTCAGTTGCTGCTATTCAGTCGCTGAGTCGTGTCTGACTCTTTGCAACCCTATGGATTGCAGCATGCTAGGCTTCCCTGTCCTTCACTGTCTCCCAGAACTTGCTCAGTTCCTGACTCCACCAATTATCTCCTCCTCCTCCTTCTTACACCCACCCTGCTGCCTCCTTCCCAGCAGCATTCAACATGCCAGGTGTCAACTGGGTTCATGGAACACTCCTGCTATGGCCCCCTCCTCTGCCTCCCTTTCTGGTGGAGCTTAGTTGAGGGAGTTGAATCTCCCTTCCCCAATTTCTGTCCTCACCTCCCGTGGACTCTCACAGAGGATGCCCTACAGGGTCACACCCTAGAAGGTTCCTTGCTGCTGAACACAATAGACACCTTTGACTTCTCTCTCTGAACTTTTGGAAAATTGTGCCTATTTTAAGAATAACAGACAAACGTCCATCCAGTCAACAAGCATTTATTGAGTTCTTACTAGTGTTGGGAACTTAGAATGTGGCAGTAAACAAGTGTTGGCAGTTGTGGAGTTTACATTAGGAGGAGATGGGGTCCCAAGCAATAAACAAGTAAATGTATGAACAAGATGGTTGGAGAAGGTGATCACTGCTAGAGTGATGCGATAGAGCGTAACTATGGAAACCACACTGACTTCCCAAGGAAGCCTCTCTGACGTGGTATTTGAGTTGAAGGCATTAGTGCAAAGATCTTGGGCCAGAACATCACAGGCAGAATGAACAGTAAGAATGGGGCCCTGAGGTTGGCACAGCACTAATAGATATGACAACATATCATTTACACATGCAAAAGCAGAAACCAGAAAGAGGCAAGAAAGTAAGGTCTTGCTGGGTAGCGAAAGGGCGTCTGAGTCACAAGCAAAGTGAACAACGAGCTCTGTACCCTTTGGGGTTGGGGCCTGGCTCTGCCTCCCCTCCTTGGGCCTCATGAGTAGAAGGGTTGGAGGAGTGGAGGACTGGGAGGAGGATCTGTTCCCTGTATCCTCCACCCTTCGACCCCAGCTTTAGAAACCAATAGGCACAGTGGCAAAAACAAGTTGGAATAGCCTTCTGGAATGGACCCCACTGGAGCCTGAAGAGAGATGGAGGCCCTCAACTCTCTCCTTCCATCCCTCCTCTCTGAGCTGGGTAGGGTAGCCCACGGAGGGGTGCTCCCACAAGGCCACTGCTGGGTTACACAGCGGAATCCTACACCAAGGTCAGCCCTGGAGGGAGCGTGGTCTTCTGTCATGGTCAGCTTCAGCAGTCAGGGTCCTCCAGGGCCATGGGATCGACAGAGAACTCAGAGTGGCTCTCCAGTATTTGTGCCTGGGAGCGAAGACAAGCCCAGAGATATTCTCCCAAAGCCAAGGTTCTAAACCACACGCACACACACACCCCCCAATCCACAGGAGCACCAGGTGGTCTGAGGGTCCTCTGGTTTACCTGGGGCACTGCCCCCCACACGTGCATATGTATAAGGAGTGTAGGAGGACCAGAGAGGGGTGAGGGAGTGAGTTCCTATGGCCCTGATCTAGAGCCCATCCTCCAGATCAAAGTCCTTTCCAAGAGCCTAGGGCTACGGATAGTGGGAACAAATCAAAAAGAAGAGATGAGAAGTCAACCCCAACCCTGCTCCCTGATAACTGGCTTCAGCGCCCCACACACCATGGAATGGTTTCACACAGGGGGGGAGGTCTTGGACTGCTCAGCTGCCCTAACTCACCCTTCCCCTGGCTTAATTCTCCTCTCCCGAAGGCCAAGTTCCTCTCCTAGTTTTCCTGATCCCTCTACAGTATATAAAGGGGTCCAGGCAGGGAGAGCGGGGGTGGGGATGGGGGGCAGGGCTCAGCCCTCCCCCAGGAACCTGGGGCTCCACGGCCTGAGAACAGCAGCTCTCTGAGCACCCTTTCTGGCCCTGCGAAGGTGCCCTGGGGTCCGCCTGCGTCCTGAGGTGGGGAGGGGGGGGAAACAGCAGTGCTGCCTCCCAAGGGGCCGACTTAGCAGCCTTGTCTCTGAGCATTCGGGAGAGGGGAGGCGGGCAGGGTACTGAGCCCAGATTAGTTGCCCAGGGTTACACATTTTACAGAGCAGATAGCGCTGGAGTTGAGACTGTCCAGAGGGGTTGGACTTAGATGGCTGCCTGAGAGTGTTTGCTGTCACCCAGGAGGGGGTCGGGAGGAGACACCCACAGATCCCTGTATGAGGCTGGAGACAGGGGCCTGGGGCTGGGAGGGAGCGCTTTCCTCGTGACTTTTCTCCAGCTTCTGACCCAGCACACTGGCCGTCTCTGACAGGCGCGTCTAGACAGCTCCTACCCTCCCTGCGAATCTCCTTGCATCTCCGGACCATCTGGCAGCCCCATGTCTTACTACAAAAGAATCTGAGTCTTGCCTCTGACTGTGAGCTAGTCCAGGGACCGGTTAAGGAGGTCAGACAAAGGAGGCGGTCGAGGGTTAACAGTCAGCCTAGGCAACAAGATGCCAGGCACGGAGGGTCTTGAGTTTGGAGGACAGCACATGGGCCGGCAGTGGGGCCGTCCTGCTCCAGAGATCCTGGAGGCCTGTGTCCACCCTCCAGCGGACAGGACTGTGGAGCCTGGGGGGTGCTGAAGGGACCCGCCGCCTGGAGCCGNCTAGGCAACAAGATGCCAGGCACGGAGGGTCTTGAGTTTGGAGGACAGCACATGGGCCGGCAGTGGGGCCGTCCTGCTCCAGAGATCCTGGAGGCCTGTGTCCACCCTCCAGCGGACAGGACTGTGGAGCCTGGGGGGTGCTGAGGGGACCCGCCGCCTGGAGCCGAACGCACCCAGGTCTCTCCTCTCACCTCCAGGCAGGCTGCCCGGCGGCGCCCGCCCCGCGGGGACTGTGGGCATCGGCCGTGGCCACATCAGCAGGTGGCGGCCCCTGCGTCATATTCAAAGCCGGGGGACCTGTCCCAGGGCACGTGCGTCGAGAAGCAGAGAGTCCAGGAGCTGAGGCTGACCGTTCACTTGAAACTCCTCCATCACTTCTTCCGAGGGGTTGGCTTGGTCCTCTTTTTCAATCTGGTTAACAAAAAGAAACAGATAAACCCTCAGCATCAGGGCTCAGTACTAGAACTGTAGATTTATAGACTACCTTTGAGGTGATCACTTCTGGTAAACTCAGCCTTAAAAATCTCTCCTTAATTTCTCACTTCTGAAAGTATCTGGCAAAAAAATATGATAATATTTTTTATTTTATAATAATATTTTATATTTTCGGCCTGAGCCTGGGAAAGATATTCTTTAAAAGCTCTTCTGTCATTATGGACAGTGATGATTGTTTCTCTGTTAATCATTGCAAATATTTTGAAATACAGAAAAACACAAAATCAAAATACCACCACTCCTAGAAAAAGCTAGTTTTACTGCCAATAGACATGCACACATGAACACACACACAGATACACATAGGGGTGTGTGTGCACATTGTCAAATTGTGACCATATTGATGTGTTCCTATTTTGATGCAGAATAGACTTTTCAAGAAGGAGATAACACCCAGTTATTTCCTTATAAATATGTGATCATTATAAATATGTGATCCCAAAATATTATTGCTTGAAAGTTTATTCTCCAGCTGAGGGATTAAATTATTTAGACTGCAGAAACCTATGTGACTACCTTCAAAATGAGGTCATGTCAAATAGTTTCAGAATATCATCAAAGTTCTTAATTTAAAAAATAAGAAAAAAAACACCAAGACAAGTGTGTCAGGAATATGCATTTTTCCACCAGAGACTAACCTTATGAGGATCACAGCTTTTCCTATAGCTTGGGGTCTTTGAAAAATTCAAAATAAAATTAAAAATAAAGTGTTAACAACAGCATTCTCCCAAACCCCAAATTATATGGCAAATGCTAGTGCCCTTCAGAAAGGATCCAGGACACCAGGAAAAACAATGACGAAATACTTTGTTGAAACTTGCCTAGTGAATTGTAGCCTGAAAGGTTAGAACACATCTCTTGAAATTTGGGAAGAGAACCTGTTTTCTGGGTCTTTTCCATGCCTTCCAGACATGGGCCAGCCAGTTCACATTAGAATGTCCTATAGATCCTGCTGAATATAAAACCCTGGATGCTGACACTAGTGTGGATGCTCACATAGCCTGGGTACCACCTCTGCAGTTACCGCTGCACATAGACCACTTAGCATCTTAGATACTCTGAGCACCTGGTTATCTTATGGGCATTCCCCTGGCAACGGCAGCCACATTGATGCCACTGGGATGCCCAAACTGTGCAGCAGCCCCTGAGTTCCTTCTCACCCAAGGGAAGCAGCCAGCTTGGGGAGGATCTGCTAGTAGTTAGGACTGAGTGACACAGTGTATCTGTTACATAAAAGTTCTAATGAATTAAGCATTTTACCATGATCACAAATGAGGTAGATAATAGCCACATGTCACAGATGGGAAAAACACAGCTTTAAGAGAATAAGTGACTTGGACAGGCAGCTGTGCTCAGCCTCAAATCTGATGCTGAGGTTTGACCTTTCCACCGGGCCAGACTGACTGCTAGGTGTATTGATAGGTCTGTTCAGTCAAGCCCTGAGTCAGGCCCTGGGGTTATGAGTATAAGATAGAGTCTCCAGGACTTCCCTGGTGGTCCAATGGCTAAGACTCTGTATTCCTAATGCAAGGGGCCTGGGTTCAATCCCTGGTCAGGGAACTAGAGCCCACATGCCACAGCTAAAGATCCATGTGTCACGATTAAGACCCGGTACAGCCAAACAAATAAATAAATACTTAAAACAAAAAGATAGAGGCCCTGCTCCTGCGACTCCTGCACCCTCCAGCAAGGGAGATGGACCCTGGGGTGTCAAATGTACCAGCTGAGCTCACACTGAAGTTGGCCTCAGTTCAGTGAGGAGGCTTTGTCTAAGGGCCACCCCCAGGCTCCTTCCCACTGACAGCAATGATGGGGGCTGCAGACATGAGGGTCCTCTGGCTACATGACATACTCTGCATATCATCCCCATCGGCCCCATTTGGCCATCGGCCAAACCAAAATAGGCAAATAACCAGCCAGTATTAAGCAAGAACAAAAGCTGTATAATATGTCCTGATCATCATCTTGTAGCCTAGCTCTGAAGGGTGAAAACTATAAAGACCTTCCACATGGCAGAGCAGAAGAAACAAATGGCTCAGGGCCCTGTAGGGTTGGGGAAAGAAGAGGCGTGAGTTTTGGCCTACACATAATCAGCCATCACAGGACTGTTCTTCAGGGTCTTAGTTCTCCTTAAGAAGAGCTGTCCCTAAATGTAGATTAGAATTAAGTCCATCATGTAAACGCAACCCTGAGAGCTTCATCTCTCATAAGCATCAAGGTGATATCTGTACCTAGTGATCCTGGGGAATTGCCCAAGTTAAGAATTCTAGTGGTAATTGGAACCTCTTTGATTCTGTAAATGCAAAGCATATTCATGCCCATTCTCTAGTCTGATGATAGAGGAAGTCAGTCAATGAGCTATGAAGAAAGATAAGCCACATCCTGAAATAAGAATTTGAGGTAAAAACAGGTATGAACCTACAACTCAACCCAAGTCCAATATCTGGTTGGGCCCAGACCTTTGGGATCTAATCCCTTTTAATTATTCAGAAAGACCATTTGGCAAGGACTTAATCTTATTAAAATATTTTTCTAAAAATAAAATGTTCTAGGTGAAATAGCAGTTTAAACCACATACAGAAACTAGGCATAGAGAGCAAAAAGGAAAAAATAAAACTGTCTCTTTTTACAGATAACATGACTATCAATGTAGAAAATTCCAGAGTCTACCCTCCCCTCCCCGCAAAAAAACTAGAATAAGTGAGTTTGGCAAGATCACAGGATACATGATCAGTATACAAAAATCAATTATATGTTTATACATTGGCAATGAAAAATTGAAATTGAAAAAGAACTATTTTAATAGTACCTAAAAGCATGAAATGCCTAAATGTAAAGCAAACAATATGTGTAAGATCTGTATACTGCAAACTATAAAACAAAAAGGAGCTAAATGAATGGGGAGATACACCATGTATGGTTCTCTCCAAGTAGACTTACAAACTTAACACCATCCCATTCAGTTTTACCAGGATGTATTGAGGAAATTCACACACTAACACTAAAATTTCTATGGAAAAGTGGAAGAATGAGAATAGCCAAAAACAATTTCAAAAATGAAAAAGAGTATTGGAGAGTTTGCACTAAACTGATGTTAACACTTACTATAATGCTATAGTTAATGAAGCTGGTTAAAGAAAAGATACATAAATTAATGAAACAGAATAGAAAGTCCAGAAATAAATTCACAAATGACCAACTGATTTTTGACAGAATTGCAAAAATTAAGAGTTAAAAGATTCAGTGGAGAATCTTTTCAACAAATGATGCTGGAACAATTGAATATCTGTATGTAAAAAAACTTGAACCTCAATCCACATCTCACACCATTTACAAAAAATTAACCCTATATGGATAGCCTCATAAAAGTTAAATTTTTTAATTTTGAAAAGAAAATATAAGAGAAAATCTTTGTGACCTTTGGTTAGGCAAAGAACTCTTACACACAATACAAAAAGCACACATACAATACAAAAAACATGATCTATAAAAATAAAAAATTAGTAAGTTGGATTTAGCCAAGGTTCAGAACTTTGGTCCTTCACAAAGACACTGTTAAGAAAATGATAAAGTAAACCACAGACAGAGAGGAAATATTTGCAAAACATATATTTAACAAAGAGCTTGTATCCAGATATATATTTTTATATATCTGACATATATAAAATAATTATATTATTTTACAATAATATAATTATAGTATATTATATAATAATACACTATAAGACACAATAATAAGAAAATAATTTGCTTTTTAAGTAAGCAAAGGATCGAGCACACACTTCACCAGTAAATGTCTTTGGTGGATGATATATAAGTTCATTTAAAAAAGCATCATTAATCAATAGGAAAAGCAAAATTAAAACTACAATGAGGTACCACAACTCTCATATTAGAATGGATAAAATTTTTAAGGGCTTCCCTGGTGGCTCAGTAGTAAAGAATCCACCCACCAAGACACAGGTTTGATCCCTGGGTCAGGAAGATCCCCTGGAGAAGGGAATGGCAACCCACTCCAGTATTCTTGCCTAGGAAATCCCATGGACGGAGGAGCCTGGTGGGCTACAAAAAAGTGACCCTGGGGTCACAAAAAAGTCAGACACGACTTAGGGACTTAACAACAATAAAATGAACCCGTGTGTTCACTGCAGCATTATTTATAAATAGCCAAGATATGGAAACAATGTCCATCAGTGGATAAGTAAATAAACTGTAGAGCATATATATATATATATATATATGTACATACACGCACACATACATACATGCATATAGTTGGCCAAAAAGCTAAAGTTTCATTCTGATTTTTCCGTAACATCTTGCATATATATGTATATGCAATGGGCTATTATTCACCCATTAAAAAGGTATGGAATCCTTCCATTTGTAGCAACATGGGAGGACCTGGAGGGCATTATGCTAAGAAACATGTCAGAGAAAGATAGGCATCATAGGATCTCGTCTACACATGGTATCTAAAAAAGCAAACAACCAAATTAAAAACAAGCTCACAGACAGAATAGAGGCAGAGAGCAGGGAGGAGAAGTTAAACTGTTTTGACTTTTTTTAGTTTAAATAAACTGGAGAACTTAATTTAAATAAACAATTAAATAATGAACACTTAAAAACATTTTAACAAACTACCAGGATTTAAAAAAAAGGAGTCTGATGGAGAGAGAAGGAAAAGCCAGAGGCGCCTGGTGAAGTTTAGGAACAGTTGCTGTGAGAACCTTCAACAACGCAAGCCGGAAGAAAAGCAGACTGTGATGAGTTGGATGAGTCCACTGGTGATTTCAGAAATGGCTCTTGTTTCCGTCATCGGACAACGAGCTTCATGAGAACAGGTGGTTCAGACGCAGCTCCATCCAGCAGAGCTCAGCAAGCCCTCAGCACAGCCTCACCGCCTGTGTCTCTGGTGTTCCTAACCCACCCTAACCTTCCCAAACCCCTGATTCTTTCCTCCTCAGAGTATGCCTTGCCTTCATCTCAGCCCATTAGTGGGTCTCTCTCTGCTTTCCAAAGCCAAACGGCTCTTCCTGCTCCATCAGTGGCCCATCCCTCCTCACACACTATGAAGCAGCCTTACTCTAGCCACGATCCCTATGTCTTCTCTCTGATTCTAGGTTCAGTCTCACTTCTGCGTCCCTTCACATCAAATCTAAATGTACTTTAAGTTATGGTTAAAAAAAAAAAAATTCCAGAAAGTAAAATTGGCAAACCTGTGTGTGTGGTGAGAGGCTGGAAGTCAGGGTGGGGCTTGGGTTTCCAGTGGGAGTGACTAGAGAGGCTGTGGTGTTATTTGCTGAGATCGTTGATAAGAGGAAGAGTGAGAATTGCTAAAGACCCAAAAGGCCTTTGTCAAAATTGTATAACCTCTAAAGGTCAGATCTCAAGAATGGCACCATGTCTAAAAGTAAGTCAATTTCAGGGAAACTTTTTGTGGCCTTCTCTTCACCTGGAATTTAGTAGCTCTGCTTCAGAGGGAATTTGTTCCCATTAACCCTCCTCCTACCACTTTGATTTAGGACAGTCAAGTAGTAGCCCGATTGCAGTCCTCGGGACCTTTGGGAACCTGAGAAGGGAGGGTTCAGATGCGTCTGGGATGTCCCTGGACATTGTGAATGAAGCCTGTCAGGTCCCTCGCTCCCAGGGAAGGGGCGACAACTGAGGAGGCGGTAGCCTATAGAGGTGTCTTCTCTGATACCCACCGAGAAGAGCTAACTGGGGGAGTCAAAATACACCACCACTAAAATATTTAAGTGAGTAAAACCAGCGAGGCTAAATCCAGACACGTCTGTGTCTCAGAGGAGATTGGCTTTCATTGTCTTCCCCCTCCTCCTGATGTCCTGGTTCAATTCCCAGCCGCCCAACAGCCATCACATAACGCCCTGGGGATGGTGGGCTTGAAGCCACCACCATGGATGACTTGCCATATACAGTTAGTTTCCTCCGCTCTCCACATTTCCTAACCACGTCCATATATCAAAACTTACCTGTCACAGGACCTTAGTACTCAGGCCCCTTCAGAAGGCATACATTAACAACCAGATTACCTGCTATACAACTTCCTATTACACTTTTAGTGACTTACCAGTCACTTACTGATCTGTTATTTCTCTTCACAAATTAACCTTACCTCACCTACGCTGGGGATGGGGTGGTTACTTGTTGAAAATGCAGCTCCCCAGATCTCACCAATGACCCAAGGAATTAGATTGTTTGTGAGCATTTTAACATTCCCCAGTTGATTCTTCTATGTACTAAATCTGAAAACATCGTGAGACATGCACACACTATTATATGCTATGTAGTCTCTGAGCATCAGAGCATATATGAGAATCTCAAATACAGTTAACACCCACTGTTAACTTATAAAACAGGTTCATTGTCAAATACTAAAAGGATTAAAGAATTGGCTTGCCACACGTGTGGGCAGAGAGTATATGGGAAATCTCTAACATTCTGTTCAGTTTTACTGTGAACCTAAAACTGATCTGAAAAGCCATCTATTTAAAAAAAAAAAAAAAAAAAGGCTGACCTGCCTAAGATGGAGCTGATGAGCATGTGCTGTCCAGCTCACCTATTCCGTCTACAAGCATCACCCCCTTTGGTTGTTGTTCAGCCACCAAGTTGTGTCCAACTCTTCAGGACCCCATGGACTGCAACATGCCAGGCTTCCCTGCCCCTCACCATCTCCCAGAGTTTGCCCAAGTTCATGTCCATTGAATCGGTGACACCATCCAATATATGAGAATCTCAAATACAGTTAACACCCACTGTTAACTTATAAAACAGGTTCATTGTCAAATACTAAAAGGATTAAAGAATTGGCTTGCCACATGTGTGGGCAGAGAGTATATGGGAAATCTCTAACATTCTGTTCAGTTTTACTATGAACCTAAAACTGATCTGAAAAGCCATCTATTTAAAAAAACAAAAAAAGGCTGACCTGCCTAAGATGGAGCTGATGAGCATGTGCTGCCCAGCTCACCTATTCTGTCTACAAGCATCACCCCTTTGGTTGTTGCTCAGCCACCCAAGTTGTGTCCAACTCTTCAGGACCCCATGGACTGCAACATGCCAGGCTTCCCTGTCCCTCACCATCTCCCAGAGTTTGCCCAAGTTCATGTCCATTGAATCGGTGACACCATCCAACCATCTCATCCTCTGTCGCCCTCTTCTCCATCTCCCTGTTATCCTCTAATTATCCTCCCGCTTATCCTCTACTTATTCTAACCTAACCTCTTTGAAGCCCGAAACAGGGAACCCTTCTCCCGGTTCCCATTGCCCAATGCACATGCTGATTATGAGAGTACTAGAGCATTTAACCCTACACTCTAGCTAACTATTCTCTCATTTGGTCCTGGTGAGTCACAAACAACCTGGTTGTTTTAGCTGCATCCCATCCCCAACATAGTATGTGGAACTCTATACATAGGCAATCAAGCTTGTTGATGAGTGAATGATCTTGCCATTTAGGTTAACATCAGATGAAGTGTGCTTGGAGGAGGGATGAATGAACTGGCTGACCCCCTCCTTTAACACACACACAGATACCCCTTAGAGTCCTCATTCCTTCTCTCTCTGAGGCACAGAATTCGCGGGCCTTTTTTATTCAATCTGTCACTGTGGTTCACACTCTGACTTTATAAATTAATCATTCCAGCCCTATTAGACAAAGGAAGCAACCCACACTGCCATCTGAAGTATTGTACCAACAGCATCTTTGAGCAAAACAGGAGCCACACTAGGAGTTTCGAACGAGGGGATTTAATGCAGGGAACCGATCACACAGTTTTCGCAAGGCTGAATGAAGGAGGACCACTGAGATAACCCACTGGTAGTAAACACAGGAAGCAACTACTAACCTGAGGGCTGGGGGGAGCAAAAGGGAAGAGATGGTGTTACCAGAACCTAGAAGCTTTGACGGGGGACCCCCCACGGCTGGTGCCTGGCCCTCTCTGGGGGCTGCTGCGCGGCTGCTGCTTGGCCTTCTGAGGGGGGCGCTGCTTGGCTGGTGGAGGCCGGGCTTCTGGGCGGGGGCGTGGCTGGCGTTCGGGCCTCGGAGGGGACCGTGGCTTGGCTGGCGCTCTGACCACCGCGGGGGGTGCAGCTGGCTGGCGCTTGGGCCTCTGAGGGGACGTGGCGCGGCGGCTGGGTCTGAGAGGGCCAAAAGAAGCTGCAGGCTGGGGCAGTGGCTCTCCTCTGCTGCCTAAGAGATGCTGACCGGAGCTGGAAACACGGAGGCAGCCCTGCTCCCCCTCCCACCTTCCAGTCTCCCTCCAGTACCTTCCAGTGGCAGAGCCGAACCGGAGCCGACTGCCAGGGGGTTGGGGGAAGCGCAGCGTGCGGAGAGCCCCGGCCCCAGCATCGCAGAGCGGAGCAGGACAGAGGCCAACGCGCAGCCCCGGGGCCGGCGGCAGCGCAGACCACTCACCTGGTCTTCTGGCAGGCGCAGCAGATCCAGTCCTCCTCTTTCTTCTGGTAGAAGCAGCCACTTTTACAGATGCTGTACTTGCGGTCCACGATCTCGCGTTTGGAGTTGAGGAAGGTGAACGGCGGGCAGCAGTGTATGCTGAAGTGCTCGGAGAACCTCTGGTTCTTGGAGAGTCGGGGGCCCTCCTTAGCCACTTTCTGACTCATCTCACTGGAAAAAACAGTGGCGGGGGCAGGGGGAGAGGGGAGACATAAAGCAGCACATCAGGCGAGGGAGGTTTCTACTCAAGGAACCCGCTCCAGGCCACTCCCATGGTCCAAGCTCACATTCAGGACTGTCTTCCATCCTGAATCTAGGTCAATTTCCTGCCCAGCTCTATGGAAAGGAGCTATTGAATAAATTGCACTTTTAAAAAAAAATTTTTTTAAATTTTAAGTGTAGTTGTGTTAGTTCCAACTGTACAGCAAAGTGAATCAGCTATACATTTACATGTAGCCCCTCTTGTTCAGATTCCCTTCCCAAATAGGTCAACGCAGACCATTGAGCAGAGTTCCTTGTGCTGTACAAGTTATCATTAATTTCCTATTTTATAGGAATCAATAGTGTATATATGTCATGGTATATATATATATGTCAATCCCAACCTTCCAATACATCACATCCAAAATTTTTAAAAAATATTTATATGGTTTTTAAAGGTTGCATTCCATTTACAGTCATTACAAAATTTTGGCTGTATCCACCATGTTGTACAATACATCCTTATAGCCTATCTTATACCCAATAGTTCATACCTAGGCAGCATAAGGGAAGAGTTTGTTAATTTTTATTTGTGTATTTTAAAATCATGTTTTCTGAAAATGGACTCTCTTTTCTCTTATGTGTTAGCCACTCATTTAGGACAGGAAAAAAATATTATAAAGCCAAATACATTTATGGCAAAATAATGTTGTAGATTTAGGAGTGACTGTTTCTTTAAAAAATCAAGAAAGATTTGTTATTAAAAGCATAATTGCTATTCATACAATAAAATACTACACCAGAGAAACAACAGACTATAGACACACTCAACATGTTTGAATCTCACAAACATAATATTGAACAAAAGAAGTCAGACACAAAGAAGTATAAGCTGTATGATTCAACTTATATGAGGTTCAAAAACAGGTAAAACTAGTCAAGTGCATGGTGCTAGAAATCAGACCATAGTTATATTTGGAGAAGGTGGGGTCTGAGAAGAGGCAGGAGGGAGCCTGCTGGGGCAGAAAATGTTCTGGATCTTTATCTGGGAGATGACTACAAAGGGGTACATGTATATAAAAGTTCAGTGAGCTCTGCACTTCATTTATGTGCATTTTACTACTTACCTAAGTTAAAGGGGGAGAAGGCAAAGGCACCCCACTCCAGTACTCTTGCCTGGAAAATCCCATAGACAGAGGAGCCTGGTAGGCTGCAGTCCATTGGGTCGCTAAGAGTCGGACACGACTGAACGACTTCACTTTCCCTTTTCACTTTCATGCATTGGAGAAGGAAATGGAAGGAGGAATGGAAGGAGAAGGAAACCCACTCCAGTGTTCTTGCCTGGAGAATCCCAGTGACAGGCAAGCCTGGTGGGCTGCCATCTATGGGGTTTCACAGAGTTGGACACGACTGAAGCGACTTAGCAGCAGCAGCAACAAGTTAAAAGGGAGCTTCCCTGGTGACTTGGTTAGTAAAGACTCTGCCTGCAATGCAGGCAACCCGGATCTGATCCCTGGGTCAAGAAGACCCCCCGGAGAAGCAAATGGCAACCCCCTCCAATATTCTTGCCTGGGAAATGCCATGGAAGGGAGGAGCCTGGCAGGCTACAATCCATGGGGTTGCAAGAGTTGGACACGACTTAGCGACTAAATCACCACCTAAGTTAAAAAGGAAGACTAAGAGGAGGAAGACAAGAGACTAGAGAGAGAATTTTGATTCTTGGAAAAATTCTGAAAGGGTGGGTAAAATCTTAATTACTACAACTTCCTTTGAGAAATGTGACACATGCAGAAATAGTCCTACCTAACACTCCAAAACACTGACGCACACAGGGGACTTAAATGACTTAATCAACAAGAGCCAACAAATAAATACAGGTAATGTGCATGTATACTGGACGCTGAGCGTGTTCTTGCTCTCAGCAAACTCAAGGTCACGTTGCACACACAGACATGCAATATGTCATTGCAAGACAGAATGATGTCAACCAGCAGAAATAAGTACAAAGATCAAAGAAACCATGAGAAAGTGATGGATTCTTTGAAGACAGAGCATATAATCTGGGTTGGGTTTTATTGCTGTTGTTTATTTGCCTGCGCCAAGTCTTAGTTGCGATATGCGAGATCTTCAGTTAGGGCATGTGGGATCTAGTTCCCCAACCAGGAATTGAACCTGGGCCCCCTGCATTGGAGGCACAGAATCTTAGCCACTGGACCACCAGAGAAGTCCCGGTCTGGGTTTTAAGGATGAATATGTTCAAAACAACTAAGTTACTCTGAAGGAATATTTTGATTTTTGTTTTTGGTTTCTTTTGGTTTTTATTCAAGTATAGTTGATTTATAGTGTGTAATTTTTTTTGGTTTTTTGATGGGGTTTTTTTTCTGCTGTAGTTAGAAGTGAGGGCCGAGGAGCAAGTTGAGTGTAGTTATAAAAAGAAAACACATTGTTTTTCACCTCGTAGACCTTGTAGAGTCCAAATTTTGTGTTACACCTGTTATATATGTTGCAAATGTTCTTTCCTGATGTTTCACCATCTTTTATCATGTTAAAAATAATTAATTTTTTAAAAAATGTATGGCTGTATGAGGTCTTTGTTGCAGTGTATAGGATCTTTCAATGCAGAACTAGGGCTTCTCCCTACTCGTGGCACACAGGCTTAGTTGCCCTGAGACATGTGGGATCTTAGTTCCCCAACCAAGGAACAAACCCTGGTCGCCTGCATTGGCAAGTGGATTCTTAACTACTGGACCACTAGGGAAGTCCCCCAAATTATTAATTTTTAGGTAATTAAGTTTCCTGCTTCCCAGGGAGTTCAGTGGTAAAGAATCTGCCTGCCAATGCAGGAGACCCAGGTTCAGTCCCTAGGTCAGGAAGATCTGCTGGAGAAGGGAATGGCTACCCACTGCAGTATTCCTGCCTGGAGAATTCCATGGACAGAGGAGCCTGGTGGGCTACAGTCCATGGGGTTGCTGAGAGTCGGACACAACTGAGCATGCACACACACTGCAGTTTCTTACTTGGGGTTTTATATTTTACTTAGGAAAGCCTTCCTCACTTCAGAAGTTCTTAGTCATAGTCATGAATATCCCATTTTGGAAGAGAATCTTCTCTGAACCTCAGTTTCACGTCTCTTTCTCTCTGTAACTCCTCACTTCTACAGAGAAGTTATCAATAAATACTCTTTCTCTCTATTTCCACATCTCCTCCCCATCCGTGCTCTTTTGTCTGGCTTATGTTCCTTTCCGCCCAAAGAGAAGTGCTTCCCATAAAGACCTCTGTGCTGCCAGATCAGCCGTCTTCTTGTCTGAGCTCTCTTTCCAGGTAAACACTTCCCTGTCTGGTCACTGACAGTCTCTTAGATTCCTTCCGCCATCTCTACCACTTCCATCTCAGTATCTCTCATAGGCTCATCTGCTTTGTCCAAAACTTGCAATGTTAGAATTCTTCAAGGTACAACAAATACTACATGATTAATGGGGTTGCTTCAAGCATTCAATTCAGTGTTTATTATATGTTCCAGTTGTGCCAGGCACAGCCTCTGTAAGGAACACAAAGCTGAGTCATACTGAGTCCCTTCCTCAAGAAATGTGTCCACCAGCTGGGAAGACAGGCAAGGATACACATGGCATGCTCCTGGGCACAAGACCCATCTATTGAGCCCAAATATGTACACATCTCTGGATCAGATAAACATCCTGCTGACGGTGAGCTCACAGTGTACATGATTAATGTTGCATAGATGTCAGCAAGTGCAATTCACGGATGGCATGCTCTGGAACACGGGAATGTGCTGAACAATGGCACACGAGAGCAGGGCCACGTGTCGGGCTGGGGAAGCAGGTAGAATATAAGTGGAAACCTTTTATCTGGCCCTGAGATTTGGACAGTCAGAGATAAGGGTTTGTGGAAGGATGGGAATGGTTGATTCCTGAGCAAAGATACAGAAAGGTGAATTGCAGTCACCCTGAGAGCCCGCCCTGTCTGCAGGGCAGCATGGGAGAGGTGATGGTGTCAGGACACAGGTGATGAGGTAGCCCAGAGTTACCCGTCACTGTGAAGGCTCTAGCCCTTGTGGGTCGTGCCATCAGCTGATCAGAAGTCTAAATACAGGAGAGGGAGAGATCATCTCATTGGTCTGGGTTATCGTAAGTTGAAGCGTGCTCACAACATCCACGTGGAAATGGGCACCTGAAACTCAGGAGCTAGAGCTGTCATCTCGAGAGTCCTTGACCTCAGGGAAGAGGCGCCACCTTGGGAGTGGGTGTGCTGGGTGTGAGCTGAGTAAGGAGCCAGGCCAGGCAAGGCTCCCGGGAGCAGCAGTGGGCCTACCTTCAAGCCCCAGGAAGAGGGTCTGGGAAAGAAGGAGCCTCAGGGGCCGCAGGGAGGTGGGAGGGGCCTCTTGGAAGTCTCCAAATTTGCAGGAGGAGGGAATGGGTCATCAGTATCCAAAAAACTGCTTCCTACAAACAAGCATTTTTAGACCAGTGAGAAACTGAAGTTGATTTTTAGGGTCTGATTCACTGTAATTACAACCCTGATGATCTTCCAAAGCCCTGCTGAACCCTACACATAGGCAAAGTCCAGCTCAGGTTTCTGCTCCCCTGGGAAATGATGAACTGAAACCCTCTTAAGGCTCCCAGCACACGGAGACAATGCTGCTCAGCTTTTCACAGGCAGTTCAAACATCACCAGTTCCTCTAGCCTGCTTGGGTCATCTTGCCCCCTGGTGTTAGAGATTTTGGGTCTCCTGGGATTCTAAATTCCTGCTCTGACTGAATTCTCAATTCCCACCCACCTGACAAGGTGCCTGGGCCCACCCTATGACCGTCTGCTCAGAGAGTTCCCAAATTATTCCCTGACAGCTGTCCTCACTCGCCACCTTACCCGCCATGTCCAGCAGGGGGCAGCCTCACCACTTGTTACCCAATCGAGTGTGTTCCCAAAGGGGAAAGCAATTCTCTTCCCTGGAA